TATTTTGAATGTTTTGGAGAATATTTTCTTTGTTTTGTTTTTGTTCAAACAAATCGTAGTCAACAACGGTTATAAGGTAGATTTTATAAACTCCATTCTTTCCAAAAAACTATAAAAGCAAGCCATGGACCAGGTCTACCCAAATTCGAAATGCCATAATGTCAGTTATAGGACATTGTCATATTTGGGTGAATCAACCAATAACATTGCCCGTTTTTTGAAGAAAGAATGTGTAAACGTGGTTTACAAAACGAATAATAGTCTAAGTTAATTCATTTAAAACAATAGAGGCAAAACTTCGTTGTCGAAATTAGTTAGGGAAGCTATGGATTATACTGTAGACGACCCCTCCCGATATAGAAGGCCGCGACACTCTGTCGAATAAGGCCCCTATGTCCTCCGTTAAAAGATGAATAATTTTTTCATCCATCTCATCCCAGCCAGGTAGGGGTACATCGTGAAGGGCGGCACTGATGTCTGAGGACATTCATGCCATCATACCATCAACACCTCCATCAGTCATGACCCATTTGTCTCTCTGACAAAACTCAGTCAAAAGGGTAAGGGAGCCAGGCTCCAACCTGTACGAAATCAAGATGAATGTCACCTTCGGTGTCGGATAGATCAGGAGTATGTAAGCTGACTTGTGGCTCTTGCCCAAAACTATATATTGGCCAAACAGAGAGAACATTTTCCCAAAGAATTAAAGAGCATAGAAGTAGTTTCGTAAATAGAAAGACCAATTCCACATTTGCAAACCACCTTTTAGCAGAAGGACAAGAGTTCGATCATGAATAAGACATGTTACATTCAGAAGAGAAGAGTATGAAACTCAATCTTCTAGAATGTTTAGAAATTAATAGATTTGGAAATTCGGGTATTTTAGTGAATGATCAATTAGAATTGAATAACTTTACGTTACTAAATATTTTTTCAAATGTGAAAACTGGGACATAAGCTCAGGTAATTTAATTCATTACAAATCAGGTACTTGAAATGTAGCTACTTCAAATTATAAAATTAGGTATATTAGGCATTGCATATATAGAATATGGTTAGCAAAGACACGCCCGAAAAAATCATTGTATGGCGAAACACGTGTTGCGTTTTTGTAAAATTGTTTAGTGTTTTTTGAATACGCTAGTTATGAATTTCAATAAAGTATCGGCCAATTCCATCATATTTCTTTGTTTTGTTTCAATAAATCTAGAGTCATGTAGTCTGTTGAAAAATAAAAGTTGATGGAACAGTGGAAAAACTGACAACCAATGTTTTATTCCTAGAAGTATGTTTCTTTGTGCGAACTCCAAGAATCAAGGTCTTTCATTTAAACATATTTTTGATGAAATATAGGATCAGTTTGAGGATTTGCCAAACTTCTTCCGAATGGAGGCTGGTATCTACCTTCAACAAAAAGTTAGGTGACATAATTTTGTTTTTACAAGTGAAACCCATAAACGAGAGAAAGAGTTTATGTCTTGGATTTGAAAGAGTCTGATTGAGTCGACCATGTCCACAGCAACAACGTGTACTCTTTTAGAGTCGATAAAAATGACAATATTATATCTATTTTCAAAATCGGCTGGTGGGAATTGAAGATACATCTAAATTTTCTATAAATGTTTGGAACAAATAAATACTTCCGACAAATTTACAAATTTTGAAAATTGGAAAATAAGCTTGGTTAGCGAATTGACACTCCTCTTTTTGACTCATTGATGATAATTTGAGTAGTACATTATAAACGTATTCATTTTTGAATAAAAATTCCATATTAAGTCAAATGCAACATGGATTTCGTTACGAAAAATCAATAAATACAGCAACGTTTTCATTATTAAACAAAATCCTAGACTATGTAAATGGAGGAGAATGCCCAGCCGTGATTCTTTGTGATTTAAGTAGAGCATTTGACTGCGTTAATCATAAAAAAACTTATTTCAAAATTAAAAATGTATGGTATAAGAGGGGTTTCTCTCAGTTGGCTGACATTATTTCTGAAAAATAGAAAACAATATGTTCAAGTTGAGAGGAAAAATGAAATGTATAGAGTCAATTCCGAATATCTGAATCTAAGTATGGGAGTGCCACAGGGTTCAACAATGGGTCCTCTACTGTTTGTACTCTATGTAAATAACATTGAATCAGTAGTTACAGAAGGTCATTATACCGCATATGCAGATGACTTTTCGCTAGTTATATCTGCACCAGATACAAAAAAATTACAAAACAATCGTGCCAGAATAGTAAGGCGGATATCAAATCATTTCAATAACAACGATTTATTTTTGAATGCGGACAAAATAGATGTTAATCGTATTCACAACCGGCAAAACAGAGTGGAAAACATACATTTCGTGGTGAACAATGTGACCCTAACAAATACTGATCACAATGTAAGATTCTTGGGAATCGTTTTAGATAAGTTCCTCAATTTGAATGGCCACTGTCAACAATTGTCAAAACTTAATTCATTGAAGTTGAAGACTTAGATATGGTATCTGTTTCTGGGGTGGAACAACCATATTGACAGAGTGATCTGGATAGAGTCTGCGGAGTTCGAAGAGAAAATCTCGATATTTTATCCGTTTTTTCTCCTCTTTTTTGATAATATTCGTCTCACCAGGAGCTGAAAACTCCACAAAAATATCGTTTTGCTCTGGTGGTCGAGAAGGACTATTATTATTATTATTAATATTGTGGGGTTGATTAACACCCTTTGTCGTTTAAATATTGAATCAAACAAAGAAGAGGAGTAGGTTTAGATTCAAATAACACTTCATTGTTCAATTTCCACTACACAGTTCAGAAAACTCCAACACGTGTTTCGATATATAATAGCTTCGTCAGGTGTGTTCATACTAACTTGATTCTACCTGGTAAGTGCTTTATATAATACCTGTATCCATTTTAATCATATGACCTAATATCTAGTTGATGACTAAAACTTTTAGGTACATGAACTCATAAACTAAATATGTACTGATATGTACTAAATATGTAAACTGATTGAAAATGAAAACACTATGAAAGAAATGTAACCAAACCAGTAAACGGACATGTAATTCCAAAAGATGAGTTTCTAACCTTTCTCTTCCGAATGTAATACATCATAGTCGTTGTTGAACTCATGCTCCTCTGCCAAAAAATGCTTCGCACATTTGGAATTGGTCTTCAATTCAACTAACTATTACTATGTTCTTTTATTCTTTGGGAAAATGTTGTACCCGTTTAACCGATATAAAGTTTTGAGCAAGGACTACAAGTCAACGTATATTCTCCTGATCTATCCGATACTGTTTTATCTTCATTGTTTATAATAATTTATTTAAATTATTATTTGTTCTGTAAGCTACGTCCAGACCTTTCTTTAAAAAAAACGAGCGATGTTTCATAGTGGCGATGGGTTCACTAAAGTATGTCAATGTTCTATGACGTTCATTATCGTCTCTTGAAGTGCGATAGACCTGGTAAGGCTTGTTTTCGTACTTTTTTGGAGAGAATGAAGTGAATAATATCTACCTTGTAACCGCCGTTGACAGAAAATTGTTTGATAAACTTAGTTATGTCTAGGGATGTCGCCTATGGATGACAATGTATAAGATGCTTTGTGGAAAATTGCAAATTTATGTTTATTATTAATTCAGTTTGAGTAAAACAAAAAAAATTGAATAAGTTATGGATTTTGTTCAAGCATAGGCCAATTCAATCACATAGGTTCAGATTGATTCAATTTCAATCTTTGAATATAATTTTGGTTTGGTCCTCAAAAGAGGGCCCTAATACCTATATTTATAATGCTGAATGAACGGAGTTTTATTCGAAAGCATACTCCAATGACTTGTAACTCAAAAATAACTTTTTAAGGAAAGTAATCTTCAAACAGTTGAATCAAGATATTTCGAATAGTTTTGGGCCATTCTTTCACTCAAAAGTTGATATGATTCATGTTTCCAAAAATGTCCATAATCACTGCAGTGTTAGTGTATTGAACATATATCCAAGCCAAGAAAAACCTTGAAGTAGTTAAATGAAGGAACTCAATATAACTGCCAAAGAATAGCAGGGTCCACTACTACTAAGAATATGTAGATTTTTGACAATATTTTTCATGAATGATTCGAATTTTCTACATCTATCATAGTTTCCAAAGGAAAAATAGAATGGAACATATTTTAGATAATGTTATAAGTATGATAACAAATTCAATACCTAGAAACGGAAATAATGATATCTGAATTGAGAAATTTCTAAAAGTTTTGGGTCTCCTGAGGGTCTGGTAACAAGGATCATTTTCAAAAACAATACAACAGTTCGAATGGACTCGACTGAAAATCCACCACGTTGTGAAGGTACATTTTGGATATAAAATTTGGAGCCAATATTCTACTACTGCATTCATTTGTTTAGTGCAACAGAAACAATGAACTGGAAATGGAATTTTCAGTGGATTCTTGGTTTTTGCCATATTACGCCCTGAAACTGCTTTATCCAGATTTCGAAATACATCAATTTTTGTGTGATATAAATGATATAATATGATATAAAAATATAAAGGATGGTAGTCTGGTGAAAATGATATCTGTCCAGATATATGTTATTTGAAATATTGAAAATAAACTGAATTATCATTTACTCTAGGTTATCTTCTACAATTGAAATGGTATCGAAATGAGGTAATTGTATATATTTTTTAATATTTTATGGTATCACTAAGATCGGTCAACCCAATTCTAAACTAATTTGTTCAAAGTAAAAAATCAAGACAAAAGCGTGAACACCAATTGAAAGCTCTTTCGCAATTGTAAAATTAGACATAAACAATTGCACTATTGATCTTGCCAAAACTTCAATTATTCAACGTAGCACTTTTATATTTTTCGCGAAAATGAGTTTCCGTGAGACTAGATATATTTTTACAGCCGTGTCAGAACTAATTTCAAATGAACGTGTCACATTGAAACGTGCATATAAACGTGAGTGCAAAGGTGCGTTGTTACCTTCTACCAGCACACTATGCAAGGATGGTTCACTGAGTTTTGAGAAACACTGGACGTCGAATTGCACAGTGCCTGAAACAGACCTCTACCCAGTGCGCTGAAGCCTCATCGATCCGGGCTCGTTTGAATCAGCACCATTGGCGGAACCACATTCGTGTTATAGATAGGTGGGTCATCTTTTAAGTTTTTACAAAAAGTAGCCAGAAATTTATGAACAAACTGTTATATTGTTAAAAAAAATATCCACTTTTGGGATGTATTAACTTCTGCATGGGTTTCACTTCATAATGTGGTGGAAGGTTTCAATAAGTTCTTTAGGTGATAAAAAAGTCGTTAGGCAATAAATCAGGAGAATACAGGAAATGAATCATCGATTAGATGTTTTTCTCGTTCAAGTAATGAACTGTGCTGTGTCGAAATTGGTGTCTCATGATGAAGAAGAAGCGACGTTTCAAATTGTTTTTTCTAATTTGGTCAGAGTCTCTCGTCAAATGAACTTTTCTGTCAATCGTTCCAAACTGCAACACTATTTCCATACGCGCGTTTCACTAACCGAGTTGGTGTCATCAGGAGATGAAGTAGACTCTTAATCTAATACTGTTCTCTATATCTAATGGGGTACACTTTCAGTTTCCGAGACACATCAATGATTTTAGGTAGAAATTTGCGGAAATTTTCTCGTGAATTTTCCCGCTAATTTCAACAGAGTGATTCATTAAAAGGTAGTGATTAACGGGCCGTTTGGAATGGGACCTTGGTCAATGCTCATGGTTTTTATGCCACATTTTACTATTTCCAGACTTCCGAAAGCACCAAAAATCTAGTGTCATGTACCGGTATCAACAATTTCAGACAGTTTTTATTCATTCTAATGCTTTTTTCCAGGGCATGCTCTTCGAAACGAGTTTTAATGGCTCGCTTAGTCTGCCCGATACATTTTTCGTCACAGTCACACTAATATCATATATCCCCGACTCTTCATTTTCCCACATCTTGTTTTTAGGGTTATCCAACATTTGTTATCGTGAGCAAGGGGTTTTGTAGGTTACTTTCATATTTAACTTTTCAAAAATATGATCGAATCCGTTTGTGTATATTGGTTGATACGGAATGGGATTGAACTTTGAATCCATATCTTTTGGAAAAGCGTTTCATGATTAACATATCTACTTCATTTGAAGAATACCCGTTGCTTTCAGCTATGTCCCTGATAACATTGATATATTGAAAAAATGTTATCATTCCTCATCACATTTTACAATCTTGTGTACTGATTTTGCCGAACCTTATTTTGATCGTCGGAAAAGTTGTACGGAAACCGTTTGGAGCAAATCTTTTTCACACCTAAACATTGCATGCTTGCATTGGGGTCTGTGGTGTACCCAGGAACGTTTCTCTTCCACTCTTATTATATGCAGATTTTCAATCAACCTGCTGACCAAGACGAAATTCTTCAAATCAATCAGCTCAAGGCCAAACTCGAATTTTCATAATTTCCTTAATAATTGTTAGATACTGTTGAAAAATACCCGATTTTTAGTAGTTAAAAAATAAGTCAGTGGAAAATGATCCAATTCTTCTCTTGCTTCCAATTCTAACCTACCCACCAACATATTAACCATGAAAGGACATGCTGGATTTCCTGGTTCCGTATCTTAGTGTTATTAACACAATTGTAGAAATGAAATTGTAGAAAAGAAAGACTTTCATACTGGCTAAGTTAGCTTGTGAATTAGTACAGCTGCTTTCCTGATAATGCCAACTTGGTTGATGAATTAAATGCAAATATGCTGATATACGGAAGAAATATTTTTGTTAATGGTGTAAAACAATTTAGTGAGCGTGCTGTACAAATATTGGTTTATGAGAAAATCTAGAAGAAAATATTTCAACTGAGTTATTCTCCAAAACGAATAACTACAACTACTATTTCTTGATTAGAAATGGATTAGGAAAATCAATTAAAATAAAATTCTGTTATTTTGAGGGCAAACCATGAATCTGGAAAAACATATCAAGACTAGAGTGACTAGAGTGACAACAACACAGTAGAATTGAACATATCTCAGCAACTTTTGAGAAGAGCCATCTGAGTGATTGGAGGCCGAAACATCACGAACAACCTTGATTGTCTAGTCTAGAACATTGAAAAAAAGTTGGGGGCTTGAATATCTATTGCTTCAAGTTCTAATTCAATACACAATACACTGAATGCAATAATAATAATGAAAGTTTGATTGTATAAGTTTTCCCAAAGTACCTAATTTCATTTAATTACATAAGTAGGGCGAGAGTTAGCGCAGACAACTGGTATATCAGCTATCTGCTTGTTCTTTCATCTAATCCAAAACAGTCTCAGACGTTCTAGATTATCTTTATTGATTTTGTTATGCATATTTTTCAATAAATAATGAATATTTAACATATGTACATTCAAGTAACACCTTATTGCCGGATTTTCACAGAACAGTTAACAATACTACAACACGTATTTCACTGTACTACAACTTCCTCAGGTGTGTCCATACCAACTTCATTCTACCCAGTAAGTGATTTACATGAATTGAAAATTTGAAACATATAACCTATTTGATTAATAATTTTACACGAGTTTAGGTATAGACTGTTCACTAATGGAAATATCAGGAAAGAAATTTCACAAACTCATTCAAGGACAAATAAAAATTACCTGAGTCAATGTATATACTAATTACCAGTTTCCACACAGAAAAAGATCCAATATGTATGTATGCATGTTTAAAGTATGTTTTTTCCGTTAACCAACTATCGCAACCCTACGAACGACAACCCTCAGATGTCCTTTTAACGTGTGATTCCTAACACGGATTGGATGATAGCGTTCAGTCTGAGGCTTGAACCATCGACTCATATATCGGCCTATTGACTGAGAGAACAAAGCACCCACGTCGAACCGCCCGGTTACCGACCGACCGGGAAAGTATTGAATACTACTGCGCCATTCAGCAAGATTTCAAAATTTTTGGATTTTTAGATTTCCAAGCACTCCAAATGATATGGTCCCAAACGTTTTTCTCCAAATGTAAAACACAAACATTCAATAAAGCTCAAGTATTCAATTTCATTTGATGATTCCGTACATTTTCAGAATTTTGAAATAATTCGATTTCCAAGCACTCTGAAAGATTGAGTTTGAAACCCTTCTCTTCTCAATGTAATACGTCATGACGACTTAACTCATGTCCATCTGCCAAAAGAAAGTTTGCAAATGTAGAATTGCTCTTCACATTCAATATAAAATTTTGAGTAAGAGTCGCAAATCAATTTATATACTCCTGATATATTGAAGTTTGTTTGTGTTTAAAATTGGAGAAAAAAGATACATAAACTTAGTATTACCTTTTTGGAGGATGAACAGTAATGTCTTCAACGATGTAATAGGTTTCCCTAGTAAATTAAAGAGTATATCTTTCGTGCATGTGGTGAAGGTGTATGAGAAAGGTCGTTTGAAAATATTATGACTGATGTTAATATTGTGTAAATTCGTTCGGAAAGTAATTTTATTAAGCTTGGAGGGGGGTCATATAAGTTAGAATGCTTGAAAAAGCACAATAATCTCGATTCTGCGCTTTCACCCATTTATGGAATGAAAAATGAAATTTTTGATTCCAAAAATGAGTCAAAGACAAAAATTTTTGAGTCCATTTTTATTCATAGAATTGAGGCAAAGACTATATCACTTCACAATAATTCAATTGAGACAACAAATAAATTTCATCGATTTGCAGAGACCATTTTTGTTTAGGTACATAATTTTCAAAGCTCCATATAGCTGTGGTACAGCTATATTTTGAGTGAAAGTAATTTATGCATTTCTACTTCATTATCATTCTCAAGAACCTTGAACATAGTGGATAATATATGTATAGAGTTCATTAAATGTGTGAAATATGATGCTAAAAATGGTATTCATAAATTGAATGTTGATGTATTAATATCATGTATTAATACATGTTGAAATGGATAGGATAAAGGGTTATCCAAAATTAATTTTGATTTTGAAATTATCTTTCTGCTTATCTACAGTTCAAAAAAGTGTCCATCAGTGCTGGACATTCGGGTACAGCGAAATACATTCTTTGTAATCATATTTTGTATCAATCAAATCTTATAAAATAGTTTTTATTGAATTATATATTCTTGGTGATCGATATTAAGCAAATTCAAGTGAGGAAACTGAGAAGAAAGAAAATCTTGGTGTTGTTACATTTACCTTTCTTTTCAGATCTGAAAAAATGAACCCTAACTTTTTTGTCTTCGGTAAAAAACTCTAGAAGAAATCATTGCTAGGACGGGGAAATAAATAACTTTTGTGCAAATCATCAACGGAGAGCATGGTCGTTATTCTGAACGTAATCAGAACTGTCACTATAGTTTCGTTGCAAGAGTTTGTTTGTGACAACTGAAATCCATGGATTCTACAAGCAGGAGTGGTTATGTGAATAACCCGAACGTTTTTTGCTACATATGTGGCGAGTACATTGCAAAGGAAAGTAGAAAACCAGTTTGTGATTTTATCATATTCTGTATTTAACAATAAAACCAATTCCACATCAGCTTGAGCAGATACCCATTCCAATATTTAGCAGCCTACCTACGTTACCAGAAGATAATGTCGAAACGTTATCTGACGAACTACAGACTAATAGAGTTGAGGAAGACGACAGTGATTTTGAAGGGGATTCAACACGTCCTGAGCACTTTACTCAGGAAGAGCTAAGCGATCTTATCAGAGATTTGAACCTTCCAAAGGAACCTTTCGAGTTGTTTGCCTCCAGACTAAAGGAAAGGAAACTTCTTCACCCAGACACCAAAATTACATACTACCGTAATGGAGAAAAAGATCTTTTGCTTTTTTTTCCCAGCAAGTTGATATGGTTTTTTGTAACAATATTGAAGGACTGTTAGAAAAATGGGTGTTTCGGAGTTTACACCAGATCCGTGGCGTCTTTTTATCGACAGTTCCAAACGAAGTTTAAAGTGTGTCCTTCTACATTCAAATATGGAAGTG